AGTACAGGAAATAAACTGGCCTCGTTGTGATTAAACGCACCCCTGTCTTTCACCTTTCTCTTCTCCTTCCCCACATCCTTCCCCCCACCGGCCTCACCCTGCACCTCCTTCACTGTCTCACTGCTGCAGGGGCCTTGGGGAGGAAGCGGGGCTCATGCCAAGACGGGCTCGCAGAGGCCACTGCGGTGAGCGCAGAGGCAAGGAAACCCAGGCGGTGTCCTGCACAGCTCGGAGTGTTTATTAGGTTTAGTGCTGAAATGGTCTCAGTTGATGAGTGGACCTAATCTGGATTGCTGACGCCCTGGTGACCCTGTGAACGTGGCCGTCCCTTGCTCTCGGGCCCCAGCCCAGCACTTACCTAAGTGGTTAGATGCTGTATTGAATCTGTTGCATTTCCCAGTAACTAGCGTAGACTTCCATCAGGAACACTTACTAATTTTAGATTCGATCTGCCCTCCTTCTCGAGGGAAGTGATTTGAATTCTTCCCAGGAGCACATCAAGGGAGAGCACCCTGCCCGGTTCTCACTTCAGCGCTCATCTCGCGGACGCTCACAACGCCGTCTCGCAGACCAGGGCCGGGGTCAGCCGGCGTCACGCGGGAAGAGGCATGGGTAACTTCTGAGGAGCAGCAGGTGCAGGCGGGATGCTGAGAGGCTTCATGTCCTGGTGGGACGCAGGAAAACTCCAGCTGCTTCCCTCGGCTGGCTGTGCGGCAAATTGTTCACGGAAGTCCTGTGAGGAAGAGAGCAAGGTGGCACAAATGTGTGCATATTTCTAGAACCTGAAGTACAAAACGCTAATAAAACGTTCTCTGAAGTGTTAGCCACTGGTTCTGAGAACTCTGCAGAGGTGCAGAGAGCTGTTCTTGGCAGTGCGTGAGGATATGGATAATTTCATGGAGAAATCTTTAAAATTAAGGTGGGAATACTTTGGAGGCAAATACGAACTTCTTCCCTCTAAACTGCAGTGGCCTCCCCGATACCACTCTGTGCTCCCTGGAAGAAGGACGTCACAGATTGGCATCCGCTTCAGAAAATGAGACTTTATCCAAGGGGTTCAATTAAATTGCTCTTCTGAGGTCTTGAGTTTAGCAGCTTGGGGGAAAAAATGCCTTTTGTGTGTGTGTGTATGTGTGTGTGTGTGTGACAAGTGTTTTGTGAATAAAAATTTTAGGGAGAAGATGGTTTCTGCACTGCACTATCTTAGGAGATGAGGACGCTGCAGAAATGACTTCCTTCTTTCATGAAAGCTTTAGTACTAAAGGTCAGCAGTGGGGCCGGGGCCGTGACAGTAACCGGGCAGCAGACCCCAGCAGGTGCAGTCCGCATTGCCGAGGCCCGTCCGAGGGGCTCACGGTGCGGAACTGAGCGTCATTCGTGCATTAAATCAACACAGCTCTTTACTGATGGCTGCTAATGGTATGTAGAGGAATTTAAAAGTCAGGCTTTTTTTTTAACCCCTGATTAACATAATTGAACGTATTTCAGTTGCCTCCGAGTGTCTGGAGTTCTTTTTTTTAAACTGCTTGGGAATACCTAGGATTGGTTTTCTGAGGCTCTCAGTGGATTTTGAAGAAGTAGAACTTTTCTACCACTTGAAATACTTTATTTCTAAGATGGTGATAATTAAACATACTTAGCCATCCTGGAAACACTGTACTGGAGCATGGAAGAACTGTTTGCTATTTGAGTTTATAAACCTCCAGAAGTTGGCAGCCAGCCCTCATAGAGGCCTTCTTCCCCGCCATCTCTCACACCCACGTGGGCTGGCCGTTCCCCTCAGGCAGGGTGTGTGCCCAGGAACCACGGGCCTCGGCCGCTGGGCTAGTGGGACGGGGTGGGGGCTCCTGGAGGGCTCTGTGATTAGATGGCATTTGACCACAGGACCAGCCAGTGTTAGGAGGGCAGAGGTGGCAGCAGTGACACACAAAGGCCCCTTCAGTGTAATTTGCCAGTTTGTCAGATAGCCTACGATTGAATCAAAATGCAAATGGGTATAAATAGTTGTGTTTTTCTAGAAATGCACCCTCGCTGCTCAGAAGAGATGCGTTCTAGCCAAGCCACCACAGAGTGAGCGCCGAGATTGGTCCCATTCCGTGGGGGACGTGGGACGCTAGCTCACGGAGGCCTTCCTGGGGTGGTCTGAGTAAGAAACGAGGGACCAGGGCAGACCTCTCGCCCAGGGGTTCAATGCTCACCAAGCTTCCAAGGGGTGTTCTGGCCACTTGCGTTGTCTCAAGTAGCAGTTATATCTTTAAACATCCTGAAAGAGGAAAGTTCATCTGTGTAAGACAAAATTTAAGAGAAGAAAATGAAAATCACCTCCCAGCCAGGCAGGGGTTCGGTGTGATCGGTGCGAGCTGGCGGCCCCGTCCTCGCCGCTGGTCATTTCAGGACAGACTCCAGCGGAGCAGCCACGTCTAGGGCTCGGTGGCCTCTCCTCGTGCGTGGTGGCATCTTCGTGACCCTGGGGCCCGTCCTCCCCGTCCACCACGCCCCGGTCCCCGCCGCCCTGGCAGCTCCCCCGACACAGACCAGACTCGTTTTGCCCTTTTACTTTTCTCTTTCTTCTCTTTCTGCAAGTCTCCCCTGCGTGGGGCCCATCCGCAGACCTGCTAGAAACCCAGGGCCCCTGAGGAGAAAGGGTAACAAACTGAGTCACCTCACTTGTAATCCCACCGGCATTCCGTCCTTGGGTTCCTTCACAGAGTTTAATGAGCAGAAACGTTTCCCAGAACTGTGGTCTGGGACTTCCGGGCAGCTGTCTGCTTCAGGGCGAGCATGAACGCACCCCGCAGTTCTTACCTTAGAATTCCTCCTGCCTCTGAGCGTCACCTTTTTGATCATGAACTTTTGGTGACTCAGTAGCCTCCGGAGGGTTTGATTTTCTGGAAAATTCCAGTGAAGCAGAGATGTAAGAGAGGTCAAGAGAATTCAGTTAATACAGGGGCAGTGAGGGACTCTTTAATGATTTCTAGAAGCAGTATTACCAAATTCCTCCTCCACAATATTTATCAAGCGTTACATATACATCAGTTATGTTACATGTTACACCAGCAACCTGGCTTCTTACTGCTTTTAGGAAGATAAATTGCTAAGCATGCTTACTGTGTTCTCACCGGCCCCAGAAATGGCCTGTTCTGTGAATGAATAAACGCTGACTGTTGGACGTTATGTAGTTCTTTCCCACATCCACATTCGAAGTTTCACAGTTGAGAGAGTCTTCAGAACGTGATCTAGAACGTGGCCTCACTTTGCTGCAGGAACATTAGTATCAGGTGGCATTGAAGACTTTCCGTAAGTAAATGTTAAACAGCCGATACTGGAGAGTCCCTCCACGTCTGACAGTGCTCTGTTGGGAAATGATTTGCTCCCTCCAGCCTGCAGTTACCACGCTGCCGTCATGAGCTTGTACCTTCCCATCAGTCATTACCAGGGTCAGAGGTCTGCGTTTGGAAATACAAGTCGTCCGTGTGGCCAAGGTGATTTCCTTGTTGAAATCTGGGCACATGGAGAAGGCGTGATCACTCAGTAAGTGGTGGAACAGGGACTTGGAGATGACTCAGTAAACATTTTACGGAATGTTTGCAAAGTGTGATTTCCAAATGCGTGTTGAACTTAAATTCCCAACGTGGTCTCCACACAACTGTTACGCTGACTTGTGTTTTGGTGAGACGCCACTGGTCTCCACTAACAGCCTCCAGGAACACAGTCCCGAGACTCAGCGCTGCGTTTACCGCCAGGAGGCTCCCCATGAGAAACCCCATCTGGTCTCCACGCCAGGAATATTGTACCTTTTCCGAACAACAGTTTTGGTAAACACAGTCCTGACCAGGCTTCCCTGCTACAAAATTCAAGCCAAGCTGAAGTAGGGGTGCGGTGGGGTGGGGCACGGGCCACCCTGCTGCCCAGCTCAGGTGGTGCCACCCTAAGTGGATTCTTTGTGAGCCGCACCCAGGACTGTGCACAGAGCCTTGGGCCTCTTGGTGTGCACCTTTAAAACCTCATTTTTGATTCTTCCTTTGTTTCCTCATTCTTTCTTTATCCATCTCTTCCTCCTCCTGTTGTAAAGGTTTGCGGTGCTCGTGTGTTCTGTGTGTCTTCATAAGCTGCTCAGAGTCCTTCGTGGACTAAGTGGAGGGGGAGTAAGTTCCAGGCGCACACCTGTGTTGGGTCATTACTTAGCATCGTTACGTGCAGGCTGAAGCTCCCAGAACCTTATTCCTGGTAGTGGTGCTTATTTTAGCTCAGGTGTACTGGTGTTTAGGCTGGTGCTTCTGTGAAGTCCAAGTGTGCATGTAAGCTCATCTGTGAGACAAGGGTCCACTGCGAAAGTCCTCCTTCCCCTGGGAGTTTTGGGGAGATGTACAAGAACACACGTCCAGTACAAGGGTACCCGGCCAGACTTTTCCTCTGAATTGTGGTTTGACGTTTCAGATCATTAAGTGGACACATCTGTCTGAGGATGTGTTTTCCTTTTCAAAAAAAAAAAGACACTTGAAGACAGCTATTCAGCTCAGCATCCTTAGTTTTCCCAGTTAGCCCTCTGAGCCCTGGAGTCAGGCAGAAATCAGTCGATCCAGCAACCCCACTCCTAGGCATATATCTGGGGTAAACTCTAATCCAAAAAGAGACATCACCCCAATGTTCATAGCAGCACTATATACAACAGCCAAGACATGGAAACAGCCTAAATGTCCATCGACAGATGACTGGATAAAGAAGCTATGGTATATTTATACAATGGAATACTACTCAGCCATAAAAAGGAATAAAATAATGCCATTTGCAGCAACATGAATGGACCTGGAGAACATCATTCTAAGTGAAGTAAGTCAGAAAAAGAAAGAAAAATACCATATGATCTTACTCATATGTGGAATCTCAAACAGAAAAAAGAGGACACTCATGAACTCATCAGCAAAACAGAAACAGACTCAGACAATGTAAACAATCTTATGGTTACTGGGGGAAAGGGGGTTGGAAGGGATAAATTTGAGAGTTTGAGATTTGCAATATTAACCACTATATATAAAAATAGATTAAAAAACAAATTCTATATAGCACAGGGAACTATATTTAGTATCTTGTAATAACCTTTAATGAAAAAGAATATGAAAACAAACATGTATATATTTATGCTTGACTGGGACACTATGCTGTATAACAGAAATTGACACATTGTAACTGACTATACTTCAATAAAAAAATTAATTAAAATTAAAAAAAACTAGCTGGGGCAGAGAAAATGGAAGGAAATTGTTAACAGGCATTTCATTTTGGGCTTTGAAATCTATTTTTGGCTTTTTAAGTTACAGAAAAGTCACTACAAAAATTCTTCTTTCCCATTTTTTCTTCTGACACACGCACCGGGCCCACACAGCTACCATGGAAATGTTCTGTGAAATTACTATAACAAAAACCCTGCAGCTTGAATCGCTGCAAGCCAGTAATCCGGATGGGAGGGCTTGTGGCCAGAGCGGTCCTGTGATAATGCTGGAGCACGATGTCCTGGATGTCAGAGAGACTTTAAGCTCTCTTGGAAAATAAAGTGCCAGAAAGCAGAAACGACTCAAAAGTCTACAGCAAAACCCATCCGTTTAAATGTGGAGTTGTGTTTCCCTTGGCCCTCCTTCCTCTAGGAACTTATTACAAATTCTATGCCAGTAAAGTGAGAGAAATGATGCAGAATAGGGCTCTGCCCTCAACACCGGGGTGAGCTTTCAGCCCTGTCTTTAGGTCCAGGCTCTTCGCGCTCCACCCAGTGGCTTCCTCTCCCAACGGGAGATCAGAAAAGCTGCCAGAGAGCTAAACTTTCTCCTGAGCCTGCATCCGGGCTGATGGGAGCAAATGAAAGCTTGTGATTAAAGGTGACCTGGCCCACGTGGGCTCAAAGTCTCCTGGGCCGGCACCCGTGAGCCTGGGGTGCAGACTCCTCTCTGTGCTCCAAGGGAACCCCTTCTCTCTCCTGCAGCATCCAGGCCAGGAGGGTCATGTGTCCTTGAGGTGTTGGCGGTGGTCCTGGCCTGTCCCATCCATCTCTGCTGCCTACTCCTGGCCAAGTGAGGTGCCCCTGGCCCCCAGGTGCACTGACCTGTCTCACCGGCTGCCCTCAGGACTGAGCGTCCCTCCACACACCTGCCCCGCTTTGGGCACTCGTCTCCACTTTGGCTCACTGGCACCAGGGATCCTCTGAGCCCCCAGGGCCAGTCCTTGGCTTAAGCCTCCCACCTGTAGCCTCACCGCACGTCCCTCATCTTACCCCTTCCAGCATGACTCCTGGCAGCCCTGGATCTTAACTCTGCTGCTGACAGCCGGTGGGAACTTGTAGGCTCTCTGGCTCCATCTGGAGCCAAGGAGACGGCAGAGAAGAGGTGGGAGGGAGACGGTCATCGCTCTCCCTGCGTGAACGCACTTCACCATCGCTCCTGCTCTGTGCTGCAGCCTCCCCACCGGGCATCTCCCCTGAAGCCCCTCCTTCCACCCGCTTTCACTGTGTCCTGTCCTCTTCTTCTTTCCTCCAGATTTTCCACCTCTCCCCACGGGAAGAGCGCCTGCCTCCCCTGTCCTTCCCTCCCCCACCTGCCATATGGACCTACTTATTCTTGAAAGTACCTCAAAATAGGAGGCCTGTAGGGTGGACACTACTGAGGGGAGAAAACACATCTAGAGACATTTCAAAAATTTCCCCAATTCAGTAAACATTAATGGAGCAGCGACTCCGTGTCAGATGGTGGCGAGCAGAACAGATGAGGATCCTGCCCTTAATGAGCTTACGGTCTTGAGCGTCTTGCAGGGACGATTCCCAGGCAAGGGCATAGAGATTTATGCATAAACCACTCTGAGTTTATTTTTGTGTATGGTGTGTGGGAGTGTTCTGACTTCATTGATTCACATGCGGTTGTCCAGCTTTCCCAACATCACTTGTTAGGCAATCATTTACCTTTGAGCCTCAGTCCCCTCATCTGTAAAATGAGGGCATTAACTGTACTAACCGCATAGTGATGTTGGGAGGTTAAATATGTTAACAGAAATGAAGCACATGGGATAATGCCCGGCGCATTTCAGGCATTTGCTGGGATTTGCTATTATCCTGCAAATGCCCTCCTTTGTCACTTTTCCTCTTCAGTTCTTTTCATATTTTAATTACATTTTCCAAAGATATAGATCCTCCATCTATTCATTTTTTTTATTGGAATCATATGCATGCAATTCATTGTTGTGTTTTTATGTTTTCCTCCCCACTCCCTCCCCACTTCTTTGGTCCCAGTACCTTTTAAAATCATCCTTCTGGTCTCATCCTCACCTCGTGGCTCCAGGATGCCTTCCTGACCACCTGTGTTGAGGCTAAGTGAGGTCCACCTGTCACATGCACCGTGGTTTCCCCGCTGACGCACGCAGAGGAAGCGCACACATCTCGCCTACCCTGCAGGACCGTGGGCTTCATGCGGGCGGAGACCATGTCTGTCTGCCTTGCTGCTGGAGCTCCAGTGCCTAGCTCCGAACACAGCCAGTGCTTAATACTCACTTAACAAGAAAGTGCAGATGTAAGAAATAAGATTACAAGGATTCCATCTTCAGTCTGCCTTTCTGCAAAAACCACCTCTAAGAACATGGACAATTCAGAAGAATTTTGAAAGGAAAATATATTACACCTGGAGAAGTTGTTTGCATCTGTGTTGGGCCAGGTCCTCTTTTAGATAATGGTACCATTACAGATGCTGGTACAAGTCATCAAGCTGCTAATGTGAATTACTGCTTTTATAGTTTTAAATTTAATCTTGGGGAAGGGCTTATTTACTACTTCATGAAAAGCTTTGGGATTAAAAAAAAATCTTCTTCCACTTATGAAGGAGAAGGTAATAGGCTCCATATGGTGGTTCTGAAAACTAAGTCCTGCAGAAAAAAACGTGGGTTTCAACTTGTTCTTATTAGTCTGCCTTGTTCTTCCTATCTTGCTCTTTTCCTGTAACCAAACAGAAACTAGTATGTGTGCACGTGTACATACACACACATACATATATACACACGTCTGTATATGCATTACATACATACAACTGTACCTTAGTATCCATGGGGACAGGTTCCAGAACCCCTAAGGACACCAAAAACCCATGGATACTCGAGTCCTTTATATAAAATGACGTGGTATCTACATATAACCTGTGCACATCCTCCCAAATACTTTAAATCATCTCTAGATTATTTATCATCCCTACTACAATGTAAATGCTATGTAAATAGTTGCCATGTCAAATTCAAGGTTTGCTTTTTGGAACTTTCTGGAATTTTTTTCCCAATATTTTTGATGCAGAACCCAAAGATACAGAGGGCTGGCTCTGTGTGTGTGTGTGTGTGTGTGTGTGTGTGAGAGAGAGAGAGAGAGAGAGAGAGAGAGAGAGTGTGTGTATCATGGTTCTGTGAAGTTCACTGAGCCTTCCCTGGTTCCCTGAGCCTTCATCAGGCCTCATTTTGGGTTTCCTTCCAATTTGAAAAAGACTGCTGGCAACTTTATTCCTGCAACAGTTGTTTCAAGTAATCTTGTGTAAAATAGTTAAAGACCCTTCTTCAGCCAATCTAGGAATTCTAAACACTATGAGAAGTTTGTTTATTCATTCGGCAGTTAATTTTGGAACGCCTGCCATGTGCCGCAGTTCAGCCCATCTGATTTTTTTATCTGAATGTTTTAGCCATATTGGAAGAGGACAGCTTTCCAACACAGTTCTACATTGGTTTATTCACAGCAAGTGAAATAAGTCCCTTGCACCAGAAGCTTGAGTTTTAAAACGGAAAATAAACTGAGTTCAAACTCATGGAAATCAAACCTTAATGTCATCCCCAGCTGAGACACATAAATTCACCTCTTAGTCCTCTTTGTCCCAAGCAGTGCTGGTTGGCGAGCAAGCAGCCTGAGTAGCAGTCACTTCTCTCACAGCAGCTTCCATCTTCTACCTTGGGTTTCTGTTAAACTGTAAAATGTGGTATTTCATTCACTTACCTTAGTTAAGTCAGTAATGTTTAATCCAATCGGAAAGCAGTCATAGGAAGTCTGGAACCCAGCACTGTAGATTACCTCCAAATAAACATGATGAAATGTTCCTTTTGCAGGTGCAAGTATTGGCATTACGATGAAAACCTGCTGACGGCCAGCGTCGTCATTGTCTTCCATAACGAGGGGTGGTCCACCCTCATGAGAACAGTCCACAGCGTAATTAAAAGGACTCCAAGGAAATACTTGGCGGAAATCGTGTTAATTGATGATTTCAGTAACAAAGGTAATGGCTGTAGAATTGACATTTTGCCTGTAAGTTAATTATGAACAGTTGCAAAAATGTGATTTCAAAATAGCCTGTAGAAATTAATCGTCAGCTTCCACTGCTAGCGCCTGTTACCAGGTTGGCACCGTGCCAAGCACCGTTTGTGACCGACTTTGTTCAGTTCTGACAGTGATCCTTGTGATGGGTATTGCTCATCTTCATTTTGCACTTGAGGCTGAGAGATGTTAATAACTTGCCAGTGATCATAGAGGTAGTCATTAACAGTTCCGTCCAAATCTAGAGAATCGTAAGTCTGTGTATTTATCCACAGCCTTATGCCATACCAATTTGGGGGGCCTTGGATTTTATAAAAATCTAATCATGGAGGTAATTTATTGAACGACTGAAAAAAACCCAATGGCATGTATATTGTAATGCCACCCAGCGCTCCATCCACAGTTGTCAAGCTGAAGTCTATACACCTGTTTGATAGCTTGTAGTCTGCATTTGAATGATGATACAAATACTGAATTTGACCGGAATCCGTGGATTATTTTTATTTATAATAGAAAGTGTCTACTAAAGCTCATTTTGTTCTGTATTTGATTTAGGATATTGAATAGAAGGAAACTGTTTTATTTTTTATTCCTTTTAAAGAGTGAGCTCTAAAAGCATTTGAGGGGCATTGGTTAGTCTTGGTTCAACTTGGCCAGAGAGCGATTGAGCACTGATTTTCCAGATAAGTGGGTTTTTTTAAGTTAACTCTTTTTCTTCATATAGATCCATTATTATAAGCTGAATATATCTTCTTAAAGGCATAAGTATCAAAGGATAGATAATGCTAGAGCTCAGGCCCAAATCAGCTTGCAACTGTGCTGCTGAGACCCATGCCTGGATGTTCATGTGTTCCTCTTTTCTTGTCACAAAGCTGAACTGAAACCTTTGAAAATTGACCAGAGAGCTCAGACTCCTCAATGACAACAGGATATTTGCTTTTTGGCAAATGAGTTTTACAGGGAATTTCTGTGCACAAGCAGTGATGCCAGTGAGAATAATGTCAGAAAAGAAGTCAAAACATGGGCGGCATGAAGATACCATTCAACGTGGCTTTATAGAAGCTTCCTCCGAGGCTTAGTTTAGAACTTGCCCAGTCTGTTAAACGTCTGCTGGTTTTGCAAGGGCACTGCTGGAACCTTGATCTTGTACACACACGTTAGTGTGGAGAAGAAATAGAAATGTGGCCTGCTTCCTTCCCAGTCCTCTTTGTGCAACTGATCACTTCTTTTTCAACTAATCATTTTTAATTACAGCAGAGAATGTGTAACTTTCAAATTTTCAGTCCTATCAAATGCCTTTAACGCAGACATCTCAGGTGTAATTTTCTACAACAGGAAAATTTTCATTAAGAATACTATTTCTGTCTCAGGATAAATATTTGAGAATATGTTTTTAAGTGATATTGTTGGTACCGACAGTGTTTCAGATTTAGCAAAACTTAAATCTACAAAAATAACTTGGAGAAATCTCACGTCTATGGTTGTACTGATTTTTAAGAACTCCCATGTTATCAATATAGGTAAAAGCTTAGTAAATAAAGCCTTGGGGGAAAAAAAAAATG